TGGATTACTTAACTCAATTTTAAGCTTTAGAAAAACCAATCAGATATCATTCTTTTTGTAAGATGCCAAATTATGTTTTGGTGACCTTTCCTACAGACCCATACATGAGTTCGTCTGGATGAACTTCTGAGGCATATGTAAGTTTGTTTCAGTGTCACTCTCTGTAGATCTGATAAACCCTTTTTATTCCTTTTGGGGTGTGTGTGTGTGTGTGTGTGTGTGTGTGTGTGTGTGTCTGTATGTATGTTAAGCCTACACCTACTTCACATGTACATATCGTGACTTCACTTGTTGGCTTGTTTAACCTCAAGACATGATGAAAATGACGTTCTGTTTCTAAAACCAATACTTAAATCACTTATGAGATGTTGCATTTCAGGAATATGGAGGTTTGATCTACACATCAATTCAACCTAGGCAAAGCTAACTTCTTGTACTTAATTACCAATTACTTTACAACATTTCTCATATTTACTTTTGTGTTAAATCAGTGAGGTTTTTTTTTTCTTGTTACTTTTTTTGGTCTGCTTAAAGATATATTTATCACTCAAATATAAAAGCAACTTAGAAAAGAACATCCAAAAGTTTATTTAAAAATTCACCAACCCACATACTAATGCATCTCTAATGGGGACGTTTCTTTTCACACCTCTAAGGTGATCGAGCCTGTCCTTTAAAGTGAGATTAGCAAACCAGTGTCTGGCAGCTCCAATTAGCTTCTTTTTGGTTTGAAGCGCATCACAAACAGTAACAAGGTCTCCTAGGACACTTTTCTTGCAAGCAGTGTAGTCATATTTCTTCATTAGTCCTTTTCAATTGTCACTAATGCCTTGTTCTAGCATTTGAGTAGGAGACAAAAAACATTAAAATTTGGTATGTATGGGGAATAGGCCATTGTTTTCCATAATTCAAGGCTCTTTGAATTCCTGTGATAGTTTTGAAGCTTACACAGCTTAATTCATTAACCTTTACCCTTCACATAAATCAGGTGATTAAGAATCTATTGCTAAGGACACAGATCTTTCCTCTGGTGAAATTTAATAATGCCATCTCTTCTTAAAAACAAAACAAAAACCTTAAATAATTCAAAATAACCTATTGCATTTCAAATTTCATCAAATGTTTCAAGTGCATTTTTAGAACATTATCAAAATCAAGTGAGCATAAAATTACATTATTATCAAAAATAATTTTGGATGCTCTGAATACTTCAGAGCAGGTTTTCTGGCACTTTTCTGTATTCTAAACGATTTTATATATATGTACTCAACAGCTGTTACTCAAGAATTTACAATAGTGGCAATTTTTTAAAAATTCTCTTCAGACCCTTGCCAAAACATAAATGCAAGAAAATAATGTGAGAGGAGGCAATTCAAAATAACTAAAGACTATTTAAATGAGCCCAGGACATTAATCTGGAAAAAAAATTTTATGTAGATCTTCACTTTGCAGAGAAGATGATATAGAATCTTTCAAAAAAGATGAGTAGTTGTTTGTAGTTCCTTATAGGTGAGACTATAATTATGTCTTTTGATTTTTTTCTTTCCTTTTGTAAAAGACATATCTTCTGTTATTTCTCAGAATTCAGGAAGATGGTTTGGAAGCTTCATTTTGTTTCATATACATGGCCTACATTAACAGTATTTGATATTCTATGAAATTTTTCTACCATGACATTTTCCCACATTATGAATTTATCCCTAATGATCATATAGATTGTTACTTTTCCCAAAGTTATATAGTTCTTTCCCTGAGTTTAATAATTTCTTATGCTACCATGCATGAAGAAATCTTTGGTACTACTCTATATAGAATGTTGGTCATATGATATTCTAAAGTGTATCTTTCGAGATGAGGACAGGGAGTAGGAAGACATCAGAACAGTTTGAATTCTAGATTCCGAATTTAGGGTTTTATGACTTTTCTTCAGGGACAGATTTATAATTTATAACTGAGGTTATTGAATACTCTTCTGTGTGATGTCTGTAAGTATGAAAGGGAGTGAAGAAGGAAAGGTTTTAAATGGAGTCTTTGGTTCTGTCACTCTCCTCATTTAAACGATCACATTGCAAATATTTCTCTTTTATTAGTGCCATTTTTAAAAAACCCTTTGAAATTTACATAAGAACTGGTTGTCAAAAAATTTCGATGCTTTATCACTTCATTTTATTTTCTGCATAACTGCTATACAGAGAACTGGCAAATGCTCTGACTAGGGGTCATGGACTAGAGCCAATACACTTTGTAAAACCATAAATGTGGTTCACAGACTTGTGTTATGTTAGTATACATCCTGTAAATATATTCTGGAATGGACTACCAAAGTTTCAGGAGAAAAGGACAGTAACTATCTATGGTCTCTCCTTATGGCCTGTTATCACCACATGCTGCCTGGGCAACTAGACCTACACAAATTATGTTTTCAGATGCTAGCAGGGAACATGACGTGGTATATACTATTGTCATCAGTTTGCACTAACAGGATAACACAAACTACTTCTATTTCACCTCTGAAATCATTAGCTATTGTAGCTGTTTACTTCAACTACTCAATTATTTTTGTTTTAATATTATGATAAGAGTTTCATTCTATGTTCACAGAACTTGGGATTTCTCTCCTCATAGATCATATCCATGAAAGATATACTGTACAATTAAATTTGGTTAGAAATCCTCCAAAGAATAGTTTGTTTCTCCATGTATTCTTATTCCAAGAATAGTTCTGTGTTGTACATAACTCCTAGCATACTGGCGGTGATTACAGGGCAATTAAAAGTATTTGGAAAGGGCCAGGGATTTAGCTCACTGGTTCCACTGCCTGCCTTGCAAGTGCAAGGACCCAAGTTCAATCCCCAGTACCAAAACAAAGAAGAAAAAAAAACCAAAGTATTTGGATGGTCTGTATAACTGAACTTTCAAGAACATAGAAAAAATCCTGTATGATCCTTTGTTAAAAGCAAAATACTCTTCTTTTTCTCCTTTCTTTCTTAGTCTCTGAGATATTTAGTGCTTTATTCCTGAATCATATATTGCTTCTTGGCTATTATATTAGCTCTTGAGTAAGCTACATAATTTTATAATATCTATTTATAATCATCCACACTTCCTGAACTTTTCTCTGTTGTGTCAGGAGGAAATATTATGCTTATAGCCTTTTGTCGGTTTTGGGGTTACCTTCATCCAGTGAGTATCTTATATAAATACTAGTTCTTGTTGCTTGTGAAATAGAATTTGATTTGCTTTTTACACTGAGATTATTTTGTATTATTTGCTACTTGTTATCTTTTCTATATATTTTTTTTTGTATGTGCATATGGCATATGTATCTATTATAGATTTAAATACAAGGAACACAAATAAGATTACATTTATTTAGTTTTTTCCTTAAACAAGTATAAAATCAGACATTTTATTCAAAAAGGACAGAGAACAAAATAGAATGAATACTTTCTAGTAATCACCACAAAATACTGAATCTACTATATTTTCGGTAACTGATAAGGATAATGAGATATATATCTATGATACGCAGAAAATGGTCAGATAATTTTAAATAATTTAAGATTTTACAATCATGTAGGGCCTTCATTCTTCACATGTGAAAATTAGTTAAGTTGTGTATAAAATGTGATTATTGTGTATACTGTTTGATTTCTGGTTTAAGCCTTTATTTTTATAAACATTAAAATATTGCCTTAAAGACAAATCTACCTTCACAATAATCTGTATTAATCATAATACCATTGTATTACTGTTTTAAGTTTTCTGCTGTAGCCATGGAAAAGCTTATCCATTTTTATCACAAGTGTTTTTTATAAAAACAGGAAAAAAATGATTTATTCGGTTATTCTTGAAACTTGAAGTGTTTATCATTGTATTAAAACAAAATTCTATAAAAGTTTTTTAAAAGAAATATATATCTTCTCCATAACTAATTTAACCTTTAAAAATGAATTATGTAGAGTAAAATTGTATAAAAATTCCTGACATTTTATAAAGATACCTACAAACAAGCCAGACAGCAAATAAAATATATGAAAGACAGAGATGGATACTGAGTAATTTTTGATGGATTATACACACAGGTATCAAATTACTTGATCCTTTCTAGAAAAGGTTAATGACCATTTTTGCTTTTACCCTTTTACTTAACTGTTATTTATAAAGAGTAAAACGGAGACTGCATTGGAGGATGCATATGCCTATGTGTCAGTATGGTTACACAGGTCTTTCTAATATAGGCAACCAAGCCACAGAATGGATAAGGTTGTTAATCGTTATTTTAAAAATTAATTTAATTCTGTACTACAAGTTACACTAAGGTTATTGGAGCAAAGTGCACCATTTAAAATCTTTTAACTTAAATGAGAACCAGAAAACATTTTAAATCTCACATACCCATATTATTAAAATGACCTAAGTCTACAAAATTCATTTAAAATATTACACATAAAACATATTAAACTAAATGTTTTTAGTGTGTCAATTTTAATCTTTCTAAATTGGAGATTTTTTAAACTTTTGTTTTATATTGAATAAAGCTTCACAGAAATATGTATTTCAGTGTTAACAAACTTAAACATTAATAACTGTACTGTGAATAATATTGCCATTCATCTAAAATGACCATACACCTATAGTCTACAATTTCATTTTAATTATTTTATGTGAATGATATATATTCATTACATAGCATGTTTGCTGGTCTTTTATAACCATGCAAAACAATAATCTTATAGGAATATAACTTTTTCTTCACTTTGGTTTTAAAAGATTCACTGATCATAAACGTATTTTATTAAAGCCCTTTAGGAATTAGAGCAGTTAAGTTTAAAGCAGAGAATATAATACTTTTCCTGAAACACCTTAAAAGAGGTTTGTTGAAAGGAGAGCTATGGCATTCGTCAAATGCTGACCTCTTCCTGTTGTATTCATGGCCTGGTCCTTGCTAATTTAACTTGAAATGCATTAGAATAACTCATGACGTTTTTGTGTTTCAGGTGTGTGGAGGTCATTGCAAAGGAAGGACGGAACCTGAAAGAGCTATATTTGGTGTCCTGTAAAATCACAGATTATGGTATGTAATGAACCATTGCCTTAATCCTTTTCAAGAGTATGAAGTTACAAAAATCATTGAAATTTTTTTTGAAGAAACTAAGAATTATCTTGTAGACATTACTTATCTTCATTTATGGTAATTCTGCTGAGATCAAAAGAAAAAAAAAAGCAAGAAATCATGAGCTAATCACCAGAGTAAATGAGTGTGCATATCGATTCATTGTTGCATGCAGCCATATACATATGCACATATGTGAACATACACTCACATAGGATTAAATGATATGGATGAAAAACTATAAAATGAAAATTAGTTTCAGAACAATTGTTCGATATTGTAATTAAGGAAATTACTACACTTGAGTTTGTTTACTTTAATATGTCACATGTATTTCTACCAACATTTTAAATACCAGTCTGTTTAATTCTTTGTATTCTTTGCATTCTTTTAAGCATTGGAAACATCCATGTTTAAATGTATAGGAAGTAAGTATCTTTTAAGATGGATAAAACAAGTCGTCTTATAAAAATATGAAAATATGCAATCATCTTTTTTTAGAGTAATAAGGAAAAATGACCTAGCCCTTTCTTTCTTGTTTAGTTAATTTTTTTCTTATCAATTTTTGTATTGAACTTAAATAAAGAATTTTAACTGGATATTTGGCATTATCGGAGACTTAAATGTTTTCCTTTTCTTTATTCTTATTTTTTAAATTTGTTCATTTAAATTTGAGAACATGCTTCCTACTTTTAGGGACGTTAAGAATACATTAGTGTTGATATATGCTGATGACTACAATCCTAGAATGTCATGCTGACCATCTGCCCTGGGTGGAAAATTTATATCTCATTAGCCACTAAATTCATCATTTACAAAAACTACTAAAGCTATAAAAAAAAAATGTTGGATCTGGGATGTGCTCAGTGATAGAGAACTCGGCTAGTATGCATGAGGCTCTGGGTTTGACCCCCAGCTCTGCAAAAAGAAATGTAAAAATGGGTTAAATTAGAAACACTTCTCATTTATTTTCAGAGCTTATTTTTTGAGAATTATATGTCTTTTGTGAGTTTATTTATTTATAAGTTTTCTATGTTGTTGATTTTTTCACTGGTTCTAGTTTGCAAATAAATATTTTAATATATATTTTTTCTTTTCATATAATTTCTTTTCTAGTTTCACATTTAAATCTGCAGTAGAAAATGTCATTACAATTACACTTTGTTCTGAAGACATAGAGGTGTTTTGTCTCATAATAAACCTAGTGCCCTGTACTTATCTATTAAGTTAGCAAATGTAAAACAATATACAAGAAGATATAGGGAATAAACATTTTGGACTTGGGACAGATCTGGTGTTAGGTACTGTCTTTGTTCTTTGTCTATTCTTTGGCCTTAAGGCATTTCCTTCATATATATGAAGTTCACTTTCAATATTTAAAACAGAAAATTAATGTTCCTGTGTGTACCAAGTGCCTGTACTAGTGAGTATTATAGTGTACACTGCTACTCTAAGTTGCTCTACTTGGTTTCTTTTCCTAGATTTTGGAAGTTTTAATTGTTATTATTATTGGTATTGTTTTGTGATATGCTCATGTTCTAGTGTTTTGAGATTTTTATTTTATCTTGGTATGGTGAAAATATGTGAAAAACCTTATCAATACAGTTTACATTTATTTGTTTCTAAGAATTATTTAGGTGAGTGGCTCGCAATCCAGTCTGCCCATATAAATACCTAAAGAATTTCTGAAACATATGGATGTATCAGCCTTATCTAATTCAATCAAAATTAAGTATTCCAGTTAAATCAGAATTTATAGGTGATGGGGCTCAGGTAGTGATTTTATAAAACCTATCTAAATGTTGACAATTTTAACCAAAGTTGAGTATAACTGATCTAATCCATTATAGAGAAATGAGAAACGAGCATTTTATTAACATATCTCTCCCCATGGGTAATGAAATAACTTTTCTTGAACCTCAGTTCCTCTAAATTTTAAGGTTTCTGCTCTACTTCATCTCCTTTCTTCTCCCCTAGGGTTTGAAGTATTCAGAAGGTTTGTGGTGAAAGTCTGTAACTATTAATTCTGGCTCTAAAATGTTGGGGCACAATTGAGAAAGAGGGAAAGCATCAATACTTTTTAAAATTATACTATGTATTTGATACTTGATTATAAAGTGAAAAAAATTATGGAAAACTTAGCTCATCTTTTTCTAACATACTGCCAATAACGTATGAGTAATTTTTTTCAAGAAGATAACAAAATGATTATTCTATGTAACTGGAAAAATACCATGTTATTGGCCATAACTGTTCTACTAAAAGAGGCTGTGTATGTTCCCTTGCTCTATGTTCATTAAAATCATAAGAAGTAAAAAGAGATACCTTTACCCTTCTTTAACTGGACAAGTAGAAACATTGTTTAAAACTTGTTGATTAAAATTGTAAACTTTGATAAGCACCAGCTTCTGAGGGAATTTTACTTTTCAAAAGGCTACTCAATATTTGTACTTCCTACTGCTTTACTCATGTTCAAATTGGTCTGTATATCCCTTGACCCCTCTTTCTGTGGTCCATGATTTCACTATATTATATTGAGATTTTTAAGGATTTTTTTTTTTTGGCAGGATGTGTTGATTCTGAAACAATAGCTCACCTGGTATATCATTTTTAATTTTCATCAAGAATCTCACAGCTGTTAAATGTGGTATTAAAGTATTTAAAAACAACTGGCAAGGCTGTTATGAAGTTATGTTCATTTTAATTGCTATATATCAATATTATAGATATCACTGAAGAAAACTGTTATGCTAATTGACATCTAACTCCCCAAATTGAACATACATCTTTATGGTAAGGGATTGCAGTTATATTTTTTAGAAGAACCAACTCTTCGCTTCATTGATTTTTTTGTATTGTTCTCTTAGTCTCCATTGCATTGATTTCTGCTCTGATCTTTATAATTTCCTCCCTTGTATGAGCTTTGGGTTTGTCCTGCTCTTCTTTTTCTAGAAGCTTGAGGCTCAGGATCAGGTTATTTAATTGGGCTTGGTCTGTTTTCCTGATACGAGTCTTCACTGCTATGAATTTCCCTTGTAAGACTGCTTTCATTGTGTCCTGTAGATTCCAATGTGTTGTATTGGCATTGTTATTTAATTGTAGGAATTGTCTGATTTCTTTAATTTCCTCTGTGACCCATTGGTTATTCAGAAGTGTGTTGTGCAGTTTCTTTTGCTATTGATCTCAAATTTCATCACACTATGGTCTGATAATATACAGGGGATAACTTTAATTCCTTTGCACTTACTTAAACATGCTCTATGAGCGAGTATGTGGTCTATTTTGGAGAACGATCCGTGTGCAGCTGAAAAGAATGTGTATTCTGATTTTGTGGGGTGGAACAGTCTGTAAACATCTGTTAAATTCATCTTTTTAAGAGTTTGATTGAGTTCTAGTATTTTGTTCCTTGTTTTTTGTCTAGTTATCTATTTGTGACCATGGGATATTGAGGTCCTCCACTACTATTGTATTAGTGCTTATATGATTTTTCATGTCCATTAGTATTTGTTTTATATAGTTGGGCGCACTAATGTTTGGTGCATATATGATTATGATTGTCATCTCCTCTTGGATTGTTCCCTTTAGAAAGATGTAGTGTCCTTCTTTCTCTCTCTTAATCAGTGTTGGTTTGAAATCCACTTGATGTGCAAAGAAGATAGCTACTCCTGCTTTTTTTCAGGTTCCTGTCACATAGAATATTGTTTTCCACCCTTTAACTTTCAGTTTATCAGTTTCATTTTGAAATAAGCGTGTTTCTTGTATGCAGCATATTGTTGGATCTTGCTTCTTGACCCATTCTGCCAGTCTATTTCTTTTGATTGGTGAATTGAGACCATTAACATTGATGGTTATGACTAATACGTATTGACTTATCATTGTCATGACTTTCTCTTTTTGTTGGATTCTTCCCCTTTGCGTTTAATTTCTTGTTGTGCCCAATGGATTCATTCTGCTGGGCTTCCTGGGGTTGTGACCCTCATTATCTTTTCCTAGGATATTGTCTAAAATTTTTTGGAGTGCTGGTTTGGTATTTATGAAGTTCCTAAGGTGCTCTTTGTCATGAAAGTGTCTTATTTTGACATCCATTTTGAAAGATAGTTTTGCAGGGTACATCAATCTGAGTTGGAGGCTGTTTTCCTTTAGTGCTTGAAATATATCACTCCAAGCTCTTCTTGCCTTGAGGGTTTGCATTGAGAAGTCTGCTGTGATTCTGAGGGGCTTTCCTGTGTATATGATTTGTTTCTTTTCTATAGCTACTTGTAGAATTTTGTACTTCTGTTGGGTTTCTGGAATCTTAACAATTATATGCCTATGTGTAGATTTTTCTTGATCAAGGCTAGCTGGAGTCCTATATACCTCACCTATCTGTATGTCAAGTTCTTTTCCCCTGCTTGGGAAGTTTTGTGCCAACACTTCTGTGAACAGTTTTTTTTTTATGTCATCTGCACTCTCTCCTGTTTCTTATGTTATTCTTCTTTGCATTGTCTAGCAGCTGCTGGATTGATTTCTCGTGGTCCCTTAAAATTTTGAATCAATTTTTCTTTTCTTGGTCACTAATTGCAATCTTATCTTCTATATCTGAAATTCTGTCCTCACATTGGCTCATTCTGCTGCGTAAACTTTCAATGGAGTTTTTAATTCCCTGGGAATCTGTTTTCATCGGTTTTATGGATTCCCTTTGTTTCCTATGTTGGGATTCCATCATATTCCTCAGCTCCTCTATTTTTTTTATCTCTATCCTCTCTAGATTTATTAATCATGTCTTGAACTATGGGCACAATCTCTGCTGTTATCTGAGAAATTATTTCTGATTTCATTTTTTCTAGATCCTCTTTCATTGCCAGTTCAGGGAGTCCAGGTGGTTGAGTATCAGATTATTCCATCTCCTTTCCCTTTGGAATTGCTTTAGGTGATCTGGAAGTCTGATTTTCAGACTTGTTTACGTGTCTTCTCATTTCATGGGGGGTGAGGGGGAAGGGATGTGTGCTGCTGGTGCTGGCGTGGCTCTGCTCTTTGGTGCTATGGGTGGTGGTATGGCGGCCTGAAAGGTTCACCTCCTCTGTGTTGGGGGCCGCTCTTCTCCTTGGTGCTGGGGGCTGTGGTTGATTTCTTGATTACGGCCATTCTTTCTGATGAGATGGAATCTCAGCATTGTTGTCATTTGTATCTCTCAAATGACAGTGAGGTTGAACATTTTTTCATATGTTTATTTGCTGTTTCTACTTCTTTGAGAAATATCTGTTCATTTCAGATGCCCATTTTTGGATTGGGTCTTTAAATTTGGGAAGTCTAATTTTTTTTAAGTACTTTATATATTCTAGAGAGTAGACCTTTGCCTGAAGAACAGCTGGTAAAATTTTTTTTCCCACATTATTGGTTGTTTCTTCACTCTGTTGGTTGTTTCTCTTGCTGTGCAGAAGCTTTTTAGTGAGATCCCAGTTCAAACACTTTTTTTTTTTTTTTGGTAAATTCTCCCTTAGGGGAAAAATATATTCTTGTTATTAGGAAGTTATCATGAAGTAGAGATCAACTTGTATTGGTCAAGTTTATGGATGTTAGAACGAGTCTTTTTCTCAGGCTGCATGGTACTTCATATGGTATAATAAATAGGATGGATGAGTAAAGCACTTATTTGCATTAGCTTCACCATAGAAAAGTTTACCAATGTGACCTTTGTGTCAGTGGGCAGTTGTAAAAACAACTCAGGTTGTTTTGACTTTAGCATTCCTGAGGGCTTTTAGAAATACATCTATAGATACATTTTTGTTTCGCTTCTTAAATTGTCTATCTTTAATTAAAAAGACTATAAACACTGAACTGCTGATATAGTTCCTTGTAGATTTACTGAAGAGAACCTAAAGACTCACTCTCTACCACTCTTCATGATCCTCTGTCACTTGTACAGGCTCTTAGTCTACTCTCCTGAGCCTGTCTTTAGCTCATTCATATTGTTCTTGGTCACAGTGCTTTTCTGCCTAATCTGGGATTTTTTAACATAACAGCAGGGTTTTTCACAAAACTTTTTTATTACACTGCATTAAAGGACTCATGAGTCAAGGAAATCATTGTGACCCTGATTATCATTGGAGATCTTCTTTCCATTGACTTTGTAATTACAGATTTGATGTATATTCACTCTGTCAGAAAGTATTGATTCAGCACTTACCTTTCCTACTCCCTCTTGGAATTCCAGACTTCCTCTTTAGGAGTTCATTAACCCAAATTAAGAACTGGAATACATCATCAAAGTAAGCACACTAAAAAAATTCCAAATAAACATTCTCAGTTATACCAGTATCAAGAACATTTCCCTTTTCTTAACAAATGAACACTGATGAATTATTTAAGATAAAAATCTTGTACCAAAAATAATTTTATACTTCATGTCATCTTATTATTCATACTATTAGATATGTTATTACATAAAATGATATTCTATTTAAGATAAACTCCTAGTTTTCCCTTTTGAGTTTTGTTTCACTTTCAAATTGTATTTCACACTTTTCCAGAACTTCCGGGAAAGATTCAACTGTTTCTGTCAGCAGGAATGACTCTAATAGTTGAAAAGTATGGAGAAGAACTTTAGAATGTACATTTGCAAGTGAAAAAGAATGTTTTATTTTTTGCTGTTGATTATGCACCCTTTTCTCCATTCTATTATTTAGAGATAGCTTTTATTGTTTCATACAAAATAGTACTAACCTGCTAAATTTCTGTTGCAAATTTCTTTTGTTTATATATCTATTTTAACACTTATTTTCCACTACTGCTATTTCTTTATTTTATTCTTGGAGTTCCTCACTGCTAGATTTATAGTCTTACTGTTGTATTTAGTAGATGTTCTGATCTTTTTCTTTGTCAGTAACAGACAGGAGTTTTTAGCTAACATTTGGTATTTTATTAGGAGCCTTTCTAAATACTCTTATTTGTCTAATAGCAAAGAAATTGTTGACTTTCTTCCTTATTTTCTAGGTCAGTCTAAGATTGCAGTACCTAATCTTGAAATAAAAGACTACACAATAGTAATGCTTATCACTGTCTTGCCATAAAATAGTACAAATTTTAAATCTATTAAGGAAAACTTCTTAAAATTTTCCTTCAAAAATACTACAATAATCAATTTAAAGATTAATTTTACCTTAATATATAAAGTCTTATTAGAGTTAAGAAACATTCTACCCTGTATATAAAAGACAGATGGACCTGTTTATGTGTGCTTCTAGCCCCTTTAACTTTCTTTTGTCATATATACTGTGCTTCCAAGTTAACTTTATATAACTGAATACTAAATTTCCATATTTAACTTACCTATTAACTGAAATATTACATTTGCAGCTTCTCTTTCCTCAATTACTTTTAGTATTTTTGAAGTAAAGTATTTAATTTTAATTAGGTGTTTTTAGCATTAGTCTTATGAAGGAATCTCTTTTGTAGATGCATAAAATTTATCCTGATTCACATAAAGAGTTTTTTTCACAGAGTTTCCATGTTTAACTTTCTTTGCATAGTATTTTGGGGTTTGCAGACTAGACATTTTTTTGTATTATGCAATAGTATAAATAAAATTATCATCAGTATATTATCACTGATGATTAGATATAAATGGAGCTGTGATGAACAAGAAGATAATTGCAATAGTGCTAGGGATCTATGGATCCTTTGGAAGAAATGACTTCTTTTTTTTTTTTTTGGTACCGGGGATCGAACTCGGGTCCTTGCGCTTGCATGGCAGGCAGCGAAACCACTGAGCTAAATCCCCAGCCCAAGAAATGACTTCTTAATGGTTAAAAATCCTTGAAAATGGATGTCTTGACTCATATTAGTTCTCTATTAGAAGAGCTTTTTAAGCAGAAATAATCTCTAGGGAATAATGTAGAAGGATGGAAACACTGGATAAGGAGTTGACCTATGTGATCTTTAAATCTCTCTCTAATCCTGGGGTTTATTGTAGACTCGTTTTTACTTTTTGTTTCATAAACCAAATGTTTCCTCTGTGTATGCACAGTGCTGGCTGAGTGTTGGAAAATACGGAGATAGAGAGATGGGTGAAATGTATGCACTTATGCATGAAAAAAGTAGATTTAGTCTGCGAACAGTTTTCTAACATATTGGAATTAATTTAAAAAAGATAAGACCTTTGAGATACAAGGGTTCAGGAGAGGACAGATCCATCACAGACTGCAATCACTGAGGAAGGATTTGGGAACTTGGGAGAACAGTGATGAGCAAAAGGGTATTTGAGGTACTTCAGCCCTAGGAAAGGCTCAAAACAAGAACAGGTGTCTAAATGGAAGAGTTTGTATGCATTGGTTAATCTAAAGAAAGAACAGAAAGCATCCAAAGTGATTACGTACACACACCGGCAAGTTTTGAAGAAACCTTATGAAAATACTCCAGTTGAAAATTCAGGATAAGTTCCAGTTTTTGTTGCAACTTTTCCTGTCTTACTCATCATTGCCATGGCAACAACTTCACTTAACATATATTTTTAAAAAGGAAACATTACTTTGGGTTATAACTACTAATCAAATATTCAGTTAAATTCCAAACAAATCAAAGGTAAACTTTCATAATAGTAGTGGTAGAATAACTAAAACTTACTGGATGTATTCTGTGGGCATTATTTATTTAATTCCCTCAACATCCCAATTTAGATAGTTACTGTTATTATTCAAGCTTATAAATGTGCAAAGTGAGGAATAGAAAGGCTCAGGTTCATATGTAGTCTGTGAATTACAGTAGTGTGTGAAGTTAATGTTATGTTAGTGTCTTGAAAAATCACCCATAGGTCAGTAATGTGCTTGGGAGTATTTACTTCATAATTATCATTGATATTCAATATACATTGATGTGTTCAACAAATATTTTCTTAATTTCAAAAGTATCTGTGATTATGAGGTAAAACTTTTCTTACATTCTCTTTATAAATTATTACAAAAAACTTAGAATTAGAACTGTTATCTCTTTTCAATAGATGAACAGATTGAGCTCAGCCAGATTTTAGTTAATTAGCAAAAATAGGGAAAAATATCTCCCCATGGCAGATGACTTCTAAAATGTCTGTGCTTTTCATGTAGAAATAATTTCTTCATTTAAATGGTAATTTTCAAACAACTTTAGACAATGTTAAATGAGATGATTTCATAGTAATTTTTTTAATCCAAATATTTCTGGATATACATAATGGTACAATCCTCAAAAACATAAGTAATTGCTCTTTTTTAAAATCCCTTAAACATGAACTCAGACATTCTCATCCACCTCATTTGCCAATTAGAGTTCTTTTGTATAGAGAGCCTGTGCATAATTGTTCTCTAAGAAGTCAAAATCATATCCTTCTTTACTGTGGACTTATGCTTTGTCTTCTCTGTTCTATTTAGCTTTAGTGCTACTCATTTACTGAAATATCTTGAAAAGTAGAAATAAAAAGGGAGAGCAAATTTAAGATCTGCATCTCTTTCTTCTAAAGCATCAAGCTGTATCTCCTCTACTTCTGAGTGCTCTCTTGTGATCATTCATACTTTATGATGTAATTTTTTCTTCCTCAGCTGATGTTTGATTAAGTCTTCCCCACTATTTCCTGGTTGTCTGTTTAAGACATTTGACATCTCATTGATTTTTACAAGGCAACGAAAACAAAAGCAAACAAATATCTTCTAAGTTTACATTAGGAATTGATAAGAACATTTCAAACATAATGTAAATAATTATTAAAATAATTTATTTTACTCTTTGCCTTTCACTGATTAGACATTCATCCTTACATCCCCTAATGTGAATAGGGTAAGCTTCTGTGGAAAGCCCTTCCCTTTTCACCCATTACCTGAACTTCTTTTATATAAAGAGGAATCAATTTTGTGGTTTACTGAGTTCAATTTATGTAGGAATGGCAAAACATACATGATTGTTTCCCTTCATTTATGACTTTTCAAAATACTGTACTACATTGGTTTATAGTATCTTCCAAAGGTGAAATTTGCTGAAATTGTCCTGTCTTTGGGCAGTGGAAGGTTATTAAAGTTGGCTTCTGTGCTCTTTTGACCTGGATTCATTATGTCAAAATATATCAGGCTCATTTTATATACTTTATGATATAGGCATGGGGTCATCCATTTTTTTCTAAAAACTAGCTATTTCTGTGAACTTTCCTAAGACTATGCTGTACTCTGAATCTTAAGTCATTGTATTTTCTGCTTAAAATTTCATCTTAAAACCTAGTGTAATCCTCATCACAGGTTCAACCTTACCATTATAAATCAGCAAAGTCAGCACCCCCCAAACACGCCAGATTTTCAAGCATTTTTATTCACGGATTTCCAGTATGCTAAAAATTTCTGTTGTCATATATCTAACTTAATCCTCAGTCCCATTTTCTGCTTTTGGAGAAGGAACTGGACTTGAGAAAGAGAAGTAGTTTTATTTTAGCTACTCCATCAACTTTCTGGGGATTCTGTCTAAAATCTTCTACATTTTAGTAAGTATTGAAAAAAGACTTTGTCTACTTTCTAAATAGAAAACTGTTCAAATTATGTGGTTTTGCATTCTTTAATTCAAGAGCCTTCTAACTTCTTTTACCTACAATGAGAAATATTTTGCTTTTAATGTGTTTGTTGGACTCTCACTAAACTGATTTTATTCACAAAGATAACCAGCAGTTTATAAAACACTGTTATAATTCTAAGACTGTCCCTCCGTCTATGGATATATACTGGATTTGTCAGTAAACAACCTGCTCAGGACCAGAAAACCAGTGGTTTCCTTGGTGCAAAGTAGATACTATTCTTAAGGTAAAATGTACCAACCTTTTCATCATATATGTGATCTTATTATACATAAAAATCATGATGAATATTTCTTCCATCTCAGATCTTTGGGAGAAAGAAAACCAAACAGATTCTTTTGGTGATTTTATTGCAGAATAAATAATAAACGGAGCTTAATCCTTAGGCAAAAAGGCAGTGTTGTTAATTTAATTTCCTCATTAAGAAAATCAAACTTTCTTTTAACTTAGATATTAAACTGTTAATTTTAATCCTTATCCTAAAACATTCCCTTGGGTTTAAGACTCAATCATTTAGAATTTATCTGTCAAATATGTTTCTTTTCTTAGGTTTATCCTCATGACATTAAATAAATAGTTTGAACTTTTCAACTTTTCAAACAATTGTGTTGAGTTGATGTGGCTGATCCAGCCTCTGTGCCTCTGTGTGACATGTGTGCCAGGTGCTTAAAGTGACTTGGTTGTCACTGAATATGACTGAGTATGATCAGAGGAAAGATTTCAAAAATTTAAAAGAAAGATTAAAAAAAGAAAATAGAAAATTCTATCCTCGGGAATCATCTATCTATGTATTTATCTATCTATGGTTCTCTGTGTGGCCCCTTAAAATTTACTACATTCACATCAATATAATGCAAATGTTGCTGACCAAATACTTTCATGTAATAAATAATTCTTAGAAATAAAAGAAAAAAATTGGTTCAATACTAGCTAAGTACTATTTAGTGATTGATCCTTGTATATTTTTAATCATCCCTATTTCTTTCTTAGGTTGAATTTCCCATGTTTTTTTCTTTCTACTCTTTCTTTTCATATGGCTCTAGGAACTTCTCCAAGAAAGCAGTTTTGCTTTGAAGGTATTTTATTTCCTCTCATAAATGATTCTTCTGTTCTATTATATTTTAAACCACAATAATACCCTAATAGGATCCAGCCCCTCGCTGGACTTATGTATTGGAAAATTTCTCCAAAGTCAGTCTTGGAAAGTTGGATTTGGAAGTTTGAAGGCCAAAAGTCTTGAATATCAGGATCCTCCTTTTCTGAATACCAGATTCATGCAAGGGGAAGTTTGTGACCAAATGACGGTCATCTAGAATGACAATTTCTAAACACACTTGAAGGGTATTTTTGAAATTTTAAGGTATTTCTACTTGTATTCTATAGTAACCAAATACCTTTTAAAGGAAAAAGAATAATTGGGGCCTTGGGTCTGATCCCCAACACACACAAACACACACACACACACACATATACACACACACGCACACAGTGTGTATGTGTAATGGTTATACATTTATGTTATAACATGCATATGTGATATATACACAAAAGTATCAATGGTAAATAAGATTCCAGCTGCCAGTCTCGAACAGCAATAAGAAATTTAAAATTTATCTATAAAATAAGTGAAGAGTATGAGAATTCAATCAGTACTATTTTATGTTGAGGCAAATGTACTTGGCTTTTTTTGAGAATCATACCGTCTGCTCTGGTTTACATAGAAATTGGGCAAAATCCTCTAAAGAATTCATTTTCAACTTCGGCTTTATAACACACCTTGCAATCAAGGTTTTCAGATGATTAACTTCATAAAAAACTATAAATTTGAACAGATTCAATGATATCTTTTTTTACTCTCAAATTCTGATAAAATTTTCCTAAGTGGCAGAAAGAAGGGTGAATTCATCAGGCATGCTGAAATTTGCACATAAAGGCTTCTTTTCTATCACAGCTTTTAATGCATTGCATTTCCCAGGATAAATAATCATTAATTATTTACATGCCTGTGAAATATACTGTCTAAAGCTAGTTCTATATTACACCTCTGCATATTCCCCCAAATTTCAATCACATTCTTATACTTACACAACATTTGGGGGCTACAGCCAATTCAGAAAATGTGGCACAAATATGTGCTGCACATTGGTATTATCCATCACATTCAACATTCTGTAGAGAAACACATTGATTCTAGAGCTGGGGCCCTTTTAGGACAAATAGGACACCAAATGACATGCAAGTGAAGTAAGACGTTCTCACACACACACAGACATAAATTATATGGAAAGGTATACCCTTTACAGAATTATGCTGCTTTTTTATGACTCCCATACTTTTTTTCCCTAGACTGTTGATTTGAAACCTATTCTCTCTCAGATTTATGAAAAAATAATTTTAAATTTTTTATTCAAGAAAGTAGTCTTTATTTTAATAGCTTGAATATCATATACTTTTAAATTAGCTTTTTTATGATATAATATTTAAATTAGCCTACTAAAGTTTCTTAAGGTTTCCTGAACATGACAAGGCTCTTAAAAACACGTTTTTTGGATAGTGGCCTCTACAAACATTTACTTCTATTTTTTTTCAACTTTAGGAAACCAGTTGAAAGTTGTAGAATTAGACTTTGGAGCTGTATAGTATATTTTTACACTAGTACAAATCTATCTAAATCTATAACCTGCTAGGAAAGATAGACTCTCTTCCAGCTTGTGATTGTAATGTATGATTTGTGTGAACTCAAGTCTGCCTCACGAATGCATTCAGTATTTTCTGAACCAAGCTTCTGTTCTGTGTCAGGCAGGCTTCTAACTGTGCGTGTTCCGTTCACTGATTGACTGACTGAGAGCCAAATCGTTCTCACTAACACACACTCAATTCCTAGCTACTACAGAAAAGATGGACTCCAAGGCCAAAATTGAACCCTCACTAACAAAGCTTTCTTTCTGCCAATGGCAGTGCTTACACAGTGAATGAAAATTCAGTGACCTATATTCTTCCATTTAAATCCTTAAAAATTTAAATTAAAACTTTGTCAACAGTAATTCTATCCATACTGAGGCAAAAAGAGCGTTCCTGGCAATCTGGCAGCACTAAATGTAATTCATAACTATCAAAAATCCGTTTTCTCTGCATAACTTTTAAAAACGCTCCTGATGTCTTGAAAATTCCATGCAATTTTCTTTAAAAGTTGGTTTGGAATGCCACTGTGCATCTTGAAGCCCACATACAGTGAGTTAAATTACAGCAATAGCATATTTCTCAAGCACCATATAGTTGCAAATCCTTTATCCTGAAGTACATAGTGAAGGATTTTCTCCTTGAACAGTGAAAAAAGTTGAACTTTGGTTCTGTTTCAATTTAACACATGATGTGCTGTACATTTAAAGCTATGATTTACCCATCCTACTTTTTCTCCTTCATTCATCTCTGCTTCCTGTAAAAGGAATTAAATATGTAATACTTATTATATAATTATATCGGTATTACCACTATTTTCAAAGCATCATTTCCCTGCAGTGGCTTATGTGAGTTCTTCTTTTTCAGTGGGTTAATCTAAATGAAGAGTAGAAGGCTGTTTATTCTCACCATCATTGTTTTTTCACTTCTTTAAAACCACCTCTGATCTTCCTTAACTCAGTAAATGGCAGAAGCACTATTTTGTTATTGTTTATATTGTTACTGGACCAAAACAAGACTGTCCTAGATAATTCACTTTTCTTTATACTTGACATCAATCCATTAACAAGCCAGTTTTACTCCAAATATATTACAAATATAGCCAGATCCAATGATAACTAGACTAACCACTTGAGTATATTACCTATTTGTTTTCTACCTTTGACTGCCAAACTGATACCCCTAGCTCCCCCAGCATAGAGCGTTCTTGGATAAAAGGCTATCAGTTTTGTAATCATTTTTTAAAGCAAGTATTTCTGTTATCTGATCTATTAAGGATGGGATGAAGAGTAAGGATTAGAAACGTCCTAGGTAATATTAGTATTGGGAAAATATCACAGAATAGCTACAATGAACTTTCTAAAATATTTTGTGCACAAATAAATATATTAAAATGTTATTTAAGTTAATTTTTCATGCCATCAGAAATCTATTTATCTTGGGTTGCATGAAGAACTAAAAAATATTAAAAATTCAACAGTCATGTCTCTTGCCTACCATGAGATCTTATTAGGTTCAACTAAATATGTTGAGAGTGAGCCATCACAGGCCACCCTTGGTATAATGTATTCTAAAGAATGAAAGGCAAGAGTTTCCACTTGCTAGAGGGCAGTGCCAGGGCACCTACTTCTGTGGGACACTGCAGTAATCTATGCTACAGTTCACCCAACAGTCAGAGGTATCTTTATTCACCCACCAGATGAAGGAAGTCTGTAGTGAAAGGACTCATCTCCTTTTAAACAACTCATAGGTGCAAGCATTGCCATCCCTAAAAATCTTCAGGCCCCCCAGAAGCTAATATCCTCTGGAACAAATCAGTAGCCCTAACTTCATATATCCCTACAACTTGTAAGTCTAGTGACAAAATGATTGTATTTAGTCTAATGCAGAAATGTCCCATCAGGTATTTATAGTTCTTTCAAAGCAAACAGAATCTACCTACCAGTCAGGGGTCATTGTTTCAATAAGCAGTGTTGCCCGATAATATGGTCAACATACCATTCTAGAGTTACCAGGGGAACAGATCTGCAAAGTTAACCAAAGGTCAAATTCTATTTTAGAAAGGGAAAACATTTTGTTAGCTCTTTACTCACTCCAGGAATTTTTGAATCATCTTTAGATCTGACCTTAAATGTTAAAATGATTCTGTATTTATTTAAAGGCAGATATTTACCACTATGCATACCATATTTCCTGCCTCCACTTCCCAGCACATTTTTAAAAAAGAAAAATAAGGACTAAAATGTATAATAGATAATGTAAAATAGAAAGAAAAGGGGCAAAGGGGAAGGGGAAGTGGGAGGGATAGGGCAAAGGAAAGAAGGGAATGGAATTAATATGAGAAAATGAAAAAATGGAAACAAACTCTTAGTAAATAGGGAGGGGTAGAGGGGGTTGAAGAGAAGGCAGAGAGGAATGGGGAAAAAAATAAGAACCAAGATAGATTACATAAAGGCACAAATTTCCAATGATGAATGTCATTATGTTGTATACTTAAAATATACCAGTAAAATCAGTTTTTAAAAAAAGAAACAGATGTTTTACTCCTAATATTGAAAGAGTATGTAGCCATATGACAGGATGGCATTATTGTCTCTGAAGATCTCCAGTCCAGCTTCTGGTCCAAGCTGAACCAATTGACCCTGGTCACCCAGGACTCTGATACCTTACACATACTGCAGACCTAGCCACAGGAACAAATACCTTTAGAATTTCATTTTACTTTTACATGAAGGAGAGAAACTCAGCAAATACCAGGCAGAAAAATCACTAAGAATATTGCTTATACTTATTGAATGAGTCTGGTCCCCAAATGACACAGGAAACATGAAAAAAGAAATAAAAATAAAAAGAGCTCATTGAAAAGTTGCCATTGTAGCAGTTGGCCTTGCTACAGTTAGAAAGACTGGCAGATTGGCACCTACTATCCCCTAACCATTGTGAAGTATTCTTGTATAAAAGGTTATCAGTTTTATAGTTTTCAAAGCAAGTATTTCTGTTTATCAATCTCTTAGGCCTACAGATGAGGATCCAGAAATTTCCTAGTTTATACAAATATGAGTAGGAAAATATTTCTAGACTCTTTTCATGTTAGCTTTCCCATCACTGGACTCAAAACCCAACAATCACAACTTAAAGGAGGAGCAGTTTAATTTGGCTCACAGTTTTGGGGGGATTCAGTCAGTGCTCAGCAGGCTCTAAAGCAGAAACATCATGGAGGGTGTGGTGGAGTGAAGATGCTTAGTTCATAGTGGCTGGGAAGAAAAATAAGCAGAGAGTGCCAGAGAGAAAGGGGCTGGGGACCATGTAGAGTACTCAAAAGTCACGTCACCCTGACCAGGAAGGTGTGGTCCACTATCTGCACAAGTAGATGCCAAAGCCCATCAAGTTGAGATTCCACCCTAACTGCCACAGTCTTATATAATGTATTACAAATTCTATCAATAACTATTTCCCACTAGGTTGATTTTAGTCCAGAGGTTGTGAAAGACAGAAGCCCCCAAGCTCTCTTCTTTTCAGACTGGTGACACTTTCTCTCAGAGGTTAACTGTAGATACCTTTCTTCCCATCCTCTTCCACTACCTGCTCCTGGTTCCCTCCCTCTTTCCCACCAGGCTTCTGTGTTTGTGTGTGTGTGTGTACTGAGGATCAACCCAGGGTGCTCTAACACTGAGCTAACCCTTTTTATTTGCCATTTTTACTTGCCATTTTAAGACACTGTCTTACTAAGTTGCCCCGGCTAGGCTTGAACTTGGAATCCTCCTGCCTTAGCCTCTTAAGTAGCTAGGATTACAATGAGGTACCACCACACTCTACTTCCTGGCTTCTTTGTAAAATGAACCAGGCTTCTCTTTACTCAGTAGAATTGCAAAAGATATAGAAAACATTTATTGTACAAATAAATCATGTTATATGATAAGAGTATTATTTTATTTCTTTGATGTAATGATTTTAGAAATTCTTCATTAACTTCTTATATGAACTTTTTAGAAATATATAATTATTTTTACTTAATTGTTTAGATCAGGCAGGGTAACATTATTTTTCAGCTTACTCAAAAACAGAGAAAATTGTGTTTCTTAGCTGAAATTGGTAGAGCTTACATATACTACAAATATTATAATTTACAAAATATAATCAGGGGCTGATCAGGAGGTGGAGTTAGAACTCAGTGACAGAACACATGCTAAGGCTATGTGAAGCACCCAGACCAAACAAACACAAGACCATATTGCAGCTTACCCATGTTCTTCAATAAAATTTACTGTGCTCACAATATTAAAAATTAAAAGTATTTTTTCTGTATTTTGATGATATTATTCCAGTGTCTTCTAGCTTGCATTGTGTGAAGAGAACTGCCAGCCATCATTCCTTTGCTAGTAATTATTTTTTATCTTTGACTCCTTGTAATAACTTTTTACTTCTAGTAGAAAAAAGTTTTCAGTGATTTCTCTTCATACAGTATGTGTTTTTTTGTTTTGTTTTATCATATTTAGAATTTGTAGAGCTTCCTAAACCTGAGGACTCAATCAGTTTGGGGAAAGTTTCAATCATAATTTTCCCAAACAGTGCCTTTTTTCTTCTGGGCATTATCCATATATTAGATGTTTTTATGCTATTTTTTTGTCTATTAATCTCTCTTTTATATTATCCCTTCTATGTGATAATATATTCAGATCTATCTTCCAACTCACTAATTTTTCTTCAGCTCTGTCCAGCTTGCTCAATAGGCCATATTTCATTTTTAATTCAATAATCATTTTTGTAATTTCTATAAATTCTGATTTTTTTTCATAAATCTGCTTTGTCTTTTTATAGTATCTTGTTATTTGTTCATGTTTTAAATTCTCTTTTTATATACTTTTATTACATTTGTGTCTGGTGATTTAAATCCAGAGTTCTCTGGGGTTTTATTCTTTCTTGTGTGTTTTATGCTTCACAGTGTCTCATGCTTTCTTGTTTTGATTTCAACTGTGAGGTTTTATTTTGGCTTTACCTATGAGAACCCAATAGGACCTTAGATTCATGGACATGTTTCTGAAGATGATCTGTGTCTGATTTCAGCTAAACACACTTTAAGATTATTTCTTAGGGATTTCTAGGAGCAGAAAAGAAGGGTAATTAATACTCAGAATTTTTTTGAAGGTTGGCCTATGGCTTTAGTTCTCAAAGAAAATGCTTTTCACTCTATTTGATACAGCCATTAAACTCAGGCCACAGATTAACAAGTCTCCTTAAGGTACCTATGCCACTCATAGTTAATTTTGGGTCCTTAACTTTTTTACTTTTCTTTTTCAAACAACTTCATATCATAAAATTTAAGTTGAAGATAGTAATTGTTATGTATTGTAACCTGGTTTAAATATCTCTGATTCTTCCCTAAGCCAATCCTATCCAGGAAAAATAAGAGCTGCAAAAGTGAGGTACATGTATACAAATTTCTAGTAGTCACATTGAAAAAAGTGAAAAAAAACTGGTGAAATCCATTTTCAAAATATATTTCATTTCATTCATGTCATCACAATACTCTCATTTCATCATATAATCAAATAAAAATATTACGAGTCAAATATACTAAGTCTTTGAAATGTGGTTTCATTTATATTGCATCTCAAATTGGGCTGTTCATGTTTCAGGTGCTCAATAACTATGTGTGGCTAATGGCTACCACGATAGGCTATAGATCAACCATCTTTAGTGTAAAACTCCATTTCAAGACTCAGTAAATATTTAGTGAAGTAAGCAAATGGTCCTCAGTATGAGCTTTTTGTTTCTTTCTTTGTGGCAAATATGCAACCAGTCACTGAATATGCATTTTATCTATTGTATTGACATGGTGACTCAGAGTATTAATTTGTCCATGTAGTTAAAGTCTTTATATCTTACCGCATCTTCCTAAGGCATTTTCTTTCTTTTTATAATCTTATCCTTTTGCTCTTAGTGATAGTATCATTTATAAATAAAGTAGACTGTTCATCTGACATCTTAGACAGGAACAAATCAGAAACAAGGAAATCATCTCCTTCATAACGCCTTACCCTCTTGTAGTGAAACCTGAATTATTTGATATGATAATGAATTCTTGAAGTTATTTTTAAGATGTCATTTCCTTAATACTCTTAGGTAATGAATAGCAAGCAGTACTGTTCTCTTATTAAGATTCCTGGAGGGGTCGCAGTCATGCATGTGAGTAGATGCACTGTAGAGGACATACATCTGATTTGAGGTGTGACTGGAATATAAGAGTTCAACATTTCAATATTGTATATAGCTTGAGAGGTACAGAAAGGCCATCCCTGAGTATTTTTTTAGTAATTTAAAATATATTGTGTCCTGTAGTGGGTTTGCACAGCTGTAGACCTTCAGTATTTGTGTTATTATTATTTTACTGATAAAGAAGTATGCACAGAGTATTATACTGATAAAGAAGTTTGTTTCCTAAGAATAAAAAGTAAATGGTAAAAACATGACTTAAACCCAGACACCTGTGACCCTAAATCTAGGACCCTTTCCACTTCAGTATGCTACTTGTTTATAGTTGTTCATCACTGAATATTCCATGCAATATATTTTCAGTGGGGCGTGGTGCATTGGAACCAGGAAATAGTTTCTAACATCAGCCCTGACACTAACTAGGTATGTGAACATGTGGAAATTCCTTATCTTTTTTCATTTACATCTGTGCCAGACATTGTGCTAAGAGTAGTGAAGTTAGAAATGCAACTTGTTTTCTAGAAGTACAGCAATGAAATCAGGTTCTCTGTGTTTTCCAAAATCACCATCTTCTTGAAGCTGGAGGCTTTGATGCTTTGAAGTCAGAGAGGCCCAAGTTCAGAAGCCTGTCTTGCATCCTACTATCTGTGAAAAGACAGGCAAATTTTCTCTCAATCTGTTTATTCATTTGTTAACTTGGTTATTGTAAAGACTCAGTGAGAAAATATAGTAGATATAATTTTCCTTTCTTTACTTTTCACATCAGATAAAAATGATAATTAAACTCAAAACTTTCTCATATAAGAGTTAAGTTCTTAGTGTCATAGGAATTCAGAGAAGGAAAACATGGTATGAGCTATGGTATGATGAGGGAAGATTTCAGAGAGAATGAAAAATCAGGGTGGTAGAGGAAAGAAGGAAGGATATGGAGAGGAAAATTCTGCAATGCAGACAGTGATAGTGTATGAATGAAAGTAAGAATCAGGCATGGTGCATATGAGAAACTTAAGCATTTGT